AAAAAAAAAGAGAATTTAAGTAATCTACAAGAATTATTAGACTAAATGTAAAAATTAGGAACAAAGCAGGCTAGAAAAGTGAACTACTTGACAGGAGACCCAAAAACACATGAGCCTCATAATGAAACTATTAGATATAAAATATGTGTAATCTACACTATGCATATTTTATGTATTTATTTCTTTTTATATAAAACCATTGGCATATAAGCAATTAAGTATGGTAAGTATTAGAGAGGTATACTATGGAGACAGAAATGATAATGTGGTAATTTCTTCTTGCAACAATGAGGACAGACAGAATCACAAAGGACTTCATAAAGTGTGTTAAGGATTGAATGTGTACACCAAATATATGTTGAATTCTTAAACCCTGATTCCTGTAAAACATGACCTTACTTGGAAACACAATCTTTGCAAACATAATCAAATTAAGATGAAATCATACTGGAAATTTGGAAACAGACACCAGGAGGAAATGTCATGTAAAGCCAGAGGCAGAGATCAAAGTGATGCTAAAGGTTGTAGGTAGTCACCCAAAGCTAGGAGAGGCAAGGAAGGATTCTTCCCTAGAGTTTTCAGAGAGAAGATGGCACTACTCAAATAAATATGACTATCTAGCTGGCTTGTTGAATAACTAGGAAAAGAGACATCATTAAAAATCAAACATGGAGAGGGAAGGATGAAGACAACTGGACTGAAAGGAAGCAGGTTGAAAAGGTTAACAAGGTCTCAGTGTCCAATACCTTCTCCAATCAACCTTCCTTACCTTCACCTCCCACTTGAAACCATCAATGGAACTTGCTCTTTTAAACTCAAAATATTTCTCTAACTCATCCCGACCTCTCCAGTCCTTGTTTAGTAACCTCTAAACTCACCTTTATGACTACAACAACCTTACATAGGTCACCTAAACTCCGGGCTTGATTCTTTCAATCAATCAACCTCCACAAACCACTATCAACCTGTTCTAATTAAGAAAATACTTTTTCTCACCTTGCTTAAGACTCTCTATGACAATAATTAACAGTCAAGTTTTTATAACATTACTCTAAGGAATCCTGGAAATTCCTAATAAGATGCTTTAAGCTACATTACATAAGATACTGAGCAGAAGATCCAGTTTATCCTTCCTCCCATGACAGTTTCAAAGTATTCTGAGTAAGCTGTTATTTAAAGAAAAGATTCACTTGTCAAAATATAAAAACACTCGGTCTATACAAACCCAAATTATTTTTCCTAACATATGGTTCTAGTGATTTAGGTCTTGTTATTTCTCCAATTCAATTCTCTCTATTGAATTTAAGCAATGCAGAACAATTTGTAACTCTCCGAACTTCTATGTTTATCCATGCCTTCTTGTCTTTAAACATGACCTTTCTGCCTGGAATGTCTTGTGTAGCCTCCATACCAATGTCCCAGTCTGATCTTTTCCACTTGGTTACTTCTACTTGTCCTTCAAGGCTCTATTCAAGCATATAGTGTCTGGGATGCCCTTCCCAATCTTCTGGGAATAGATTAGGCTTCCCTGTATCTCCATAAAAGGTATGCAGTATCTTCTATATGCCTATGATATTGTATTGAAATTATTTGATGTCTATAAAACCAGTGTTCTTAATCATCTTTGTACACTAGATGCTTAGCAGATATTAAATACATGCTTATTGAACTGATTTTTTTCTAAATTGATAAACAATCTACTATGCAGAAATCTCTGAGGCTCATGAGAAAGCAGAAGATTGAAAATAAAAATTGAGCTAATTTTCACTAAGATACCAACTGATTTCAGAGGTCAACTCTATGAAACAAAAAAGAGATCTTTAACAAACAACTCAGAAATAGTTTCTCAAAGTCAGAAATGGGTGATTTTATGTGCATAGGCATACAAAAGAGTGCTTCTTTTCTTCTTTGACTCTCTACTGTTTCTGAAATAATGAAGCTTCAACAATTGTAAAGACAGAAAAAGCAAGTTGGTAGCTCAAGTTAGTAAAAAGGCACCAGTCTTGTAGTCAGTCCATGTTTCCTGGACTAGTTGAGGGCTCTAGACAATGACATTATAGTTACTGACCAAAATTACTAGCACCATCTTTAAAAATGTGGTCGTATGTTGGTATGTTTATGCTAACACCAAATATCTGGTACACAATGTTCTGCACAGAACTGTCAATTAACAATCAATGAATTACTGACTAAACCAGTTACAACAGTTATACAAATGAAAAAACTAATCTCATAATATGCATGAAATAAAATGTATTCATTTTATTCATAATTTTCAATTATTAGAAATTCTTACTTCAAAATAATATAACCAGCCAAAAAGTATTCTTTCACTGAAACTCTCGGTATTATTTCCTAACTTCATCTATCTAACTGTTCTGCTCCCCACTCTGTCCCTGGTGAATCCTCTCACTGCCCCTGCACCTCTGGCCTGTAGCCCAGTTCTGTATGGATGAATAAATAAATCCTTTAAAAAAAAAAAAAAACTATGAATGAAAAAAGCATTCACCTGAAAGGAACAACCTTCCATTTTTTAATTAAATAGCACTAATGTAATAAGTTGCCTAGGCATACATATTTTACATGTATTTGTCTGATGTACTGAGAGAAGTATATTTGGCAAGGAGATTAATTTTTATAGTACACTGTCACTCTCAAAAATGACACCTCTGGCTAAGGACAGCAAGCTGGGTATGAATGGAATGAGAACATAGTATCAATTCCTTGATAGTTTTATGGCAAAGAATAAGTGCACAAAATGAAATAAACTGAAAGAAGCAAATTTGTCTTAACATATAATGAAAAGACAATCTGTGTGATCCAATCACACTTATCATTTTTACCAATAATTATACATTCTTGATAAAGTAATTAATAAGTAATTACCCCTGCCTTCCTCCAAAACTAGGAAGTCAAGTTATATTATAGAAATTAGAGCTCAATTATATGAAGCAATTAAATATCTATATGCATTACAGTTATTTACTTCATAAAAACATCTTAATTTTTATTACAAAACCAGTATCAATGAAAGCAACAAAAACAAAAATTAATTTTTATTTGGTAATGTGGCTCCTTCAATAAAAGAAAAATAAGACAAATAGAGAAAGCAAAGTTAAAATCATCTTGCTAATGGTTTCCTCTAATTTAAAAATGAATTAATTTGAGTTTGTAATAGTTTCTCTGTTTTCTTTCTTGGAAGCTCTCTCAGTGTCTACTGTGTTTTTTTGCCCTATTTTTAAACAAGAAATTAATGTTTAATTATAAAAGTAAGCCTCCATTATTTTATGACTATTATATAAATAACAGACAAAATTGGCATTAACACCAATTTGTATATATATAACACCTACCTTAGGATCCATTTCCTTAAAAAACCGTTCACCTTAAAAGTTGTTTTTCCTACAATAATGTTACCTTTCTTAGATGCCTAGATACATATAATAGTATTTCTGTATTTGGACAAATTATTTGCAAATATAACTAACTTCAAAAGAAAACTTTTTAAAAGGATCATGTAGAAGCACTCATTTTTAATACAAAAGAAGAAGAAAATTCTTAGCAACCAACCAGCTTTAGCTTATTTTTCTGAATGACATCTTTGTTTTCCTTTTGGTATATCTCCATTTTCTTTTTGGTGTTATCCAAATCCACATTGTTGGTCAAGTTGAAAACTGCATCACAAAGGAAACAAGGACAAAAAATAAGACTTTAACATAAAATTTGAGTAGATAATAAAAACCAAATATTCATCACAGAGATTTAATTCTTCAGGTTGACATTCCTTACAGTACTATTTGTGTCTTTTTTACCTACTCCCTATTTTAGGGACTAGTTCTGGAGTTCAGCCACTATGTTTTCTAAAACAAATCTAAGGAAAAACTGCCAGTTTATCACACAGCATACCTAAAAACAAAAATTACACAAGAAAACTTAAGCGTTCGCCATAACCAATCAGACTAGTCCCTATTCTAACTTTAAAAGCACATAAGAGATTACTTAATTTTTTTAAATAAAGCATAAATCTAAGATATACTATGCTGGTCAGAATCAATATTGAAAAGACTCTATGCCTGAAAAATTATCCAAAAGAATAAACAATGTATTTCTACAATTTATATCTAGCAAAACAGATTTTATTCACATTCCAATGATCTCCAACATGCTAGACACAAGCTGAGAATAACTTCCAGGGTCTAAATTTGGAAAAGCATGAACTAGGTAAGAGTTGAAATTTAACAAGGAAGGTAAGGGATAGATAACTGGTCAAACTTCACATTGAAATAATTTCAAGAGATGTTGCTGAGTCATTCAGACAGGGAGTTAGAACTGTTTTCAAAATTCTAACTGAAAATAATTTGTATTATGAACACCTTATGCCTTCCTAAGCTCACCTATAAATCAAAATGTTATTTCATGTTATAGCACTCTAAACAAAACAAAAGGGAAAAAACTTTTGGTATACATATATATATATATATATATATATATAAATTAATATTATAAATACCCTATTACTCCATTCCTTACATATGTATCAGCCTGTTTAAAGAAGGATCCACAGGTTAAAACAATCCCCTGGTTCCATAATTCAACTCACATCTCCCTTGGCTTTCTCTATAATCTTTCTCCAATCATTATTAATCTTTCTACCCCTTCTTGAATTACTTACTACTGATTCCACTGTTTTCTCTTTAAACAGGTTTGATCTTCTCTAAATACTCTGCTCTACCCATTTTTATATATTCTTTCCCTATCTCATTCTTTTTAACTGGATTATAGTGGTCTATAAAATAACACTAAGCTCCAACATAAAGTTATCTTTTAGTTAAATATAGCCAAACATACTCAAGACCAGTAAGGTCCAATCGGATTTCATTTTCATCTCCTCAGCAGTCTTTTTTTTTTTTT